TTCTGAAGAAGGGTCCCGACCCGAAACAACAGCTTTCCTGCTCCTCTGATGCTGCCTGGTCTGCTGTGTTCCTCCAGCTCCACACTGTGTTGTTGCAGATAGTACACACTGCTGCTACTGATCATCAGTGGTGGAGGGAGTGGATGTTTGTGGATGTGATGCCAATCAAGTGGGCTGCTTTGTCCTGGATGGTGTTCAAGCTTCTTGAGTGTTGTTGGGGCTGCACTCATCCAGGCAAGTGGGGAGTATTCCATCACACTCGTGACTTGTGCCTTGTAGATGGTGGACAGGCTTTGGGAAGTCAGGAGGTGGGTTACTCACCGCAGTATTCCCAGCTTCTGACCTGCTCTTGTAGCCACTGTGTTTATGTGGTGAGTCCAGTTGAGTTTCTGGTCAATGGTAACCCCACAGGATGTTGATAGTGGGGGATTCAGTGATGGTAACAGTGCTCCAGTGAAGCTCAACAAAAGCTGGAGGAACAGCACCTCACTTTCTGGTTGGGGGCTTTACAGCCTTCAGGACTCAATATTGAGCTCAACAACTTCAGAGCGTAAACATTGATGTTCATTTTAATTAGATCCCATCACACCTCCTTCTCCTCCCCGCCACCACCCCCCTGACTTTCGCCCCCACATATCTTGTTTGGGTTTCAGCCCAAAATGTTGACTTTCCTGCTCCTCAGATGCTGTCTGACCAGCTGTGCTTTCCCAGCTCCACGTTTATTGACTCGAGCTTCCAGCGTCTGCTGTCCTTACTGTCTCCTTGTTTGTATGGGTTTGCTCTCAGCGAAACTGACCTATTTTTGAATATTCACATTTCCTATTAACACCTGTTTTGCATCTTTAACCAACTTCTACTACCATTAGCACCACAATTGTCTTTCATTCTGGGCAGCTTCAAAACCAGTTCCACTCACTCCTCTTCCCCCTTTTGTCAACAGCTCTTAAAAATAAACTTTGTTTTTTCACTTCTGAAGAAGATTCATACCAGACTCAAGGTATTCACTCTGTTTCTCTTTTCATGGATCTTGCCAAAACTGCTGAGTATCTCCAGTACTTTCTGTTTTTATTTCAGATCTCCAGAATCTGCAGTACTTTGTAAAACAAATCAGGCAGTCCTGTCTTGAACTATAATGGGACCAGTATCATAATAAGCACCGCAGTGGCTTAAGGATCCAGGCCACCATCACTGTGGACAACTAAAATTTGAAAGACATGATGTTTGAGCTGGAAGGAGCTCAACACACAAAACAGTGAAATAACTGAAGCCCTGGCTCACTATAGATTAAGGGAACAAATCCAATAGGAAGGATCATCAGACCCCAAATATTAACCCTAATTTCTCTTCTCAAATGCTGTCAGACCTGCTGAGCTTTTCCAGCAATTTCTGTTTTTGTTTAAGTCAAATAGGCAACTGAAATTGCAAGAGTTAGCAAGAACAACAGATGCTGGAGTCTGAGATAACACAGGGTGGAGCTTGAGGAACGCAGCAGGCCAGGCAGCATCAGAGGAGCAGGAAATTTGATGTTTTGGGTCAGGACCCTTCTTCAGAAATGGGAGTAAGGTAGCTCTGAAATAGAGAGAGGAAGGGTGGGGCTGGGGAAGGTAGGTGGGATGGTGATAGGTGAGTGCGGGTAGGGAGTGGTGGGGATTGGTCAGTGAGGTGGGAGGAGCGGATAGGTGTCAGAGAAAATGGACAGGTTGTACCAGGTCAAGGAGGTGGGGATGACAGGGAAGGTTGGACATGGGATGAGGCCGGGCGTGGGGAGATTTTAAAACTGGTAAATTTGATATTTAGGCCATCGGGCTGTAGGCTCCTAAGGCGGAATATGAGGTGCTGCTCCTCCAATTTGCAGTTGGTGTCATTGTGACACTGGAGGAGGCCCAGGATGGACATGTTACACAGGGAGTGGGAGGGGGTGTTAAAATGGTTGGCGACTGGAAGGTGTTGTCGTTTGTCACGTACAGAGCGCAGATACCCTACAAAACGGTCTCCGAGTCTTGTCTTAAACAGAAGTGTGAATAGCTCCTGGAAGGAATGATAGCAGCATTTACACCTCAATCAGCTTTGATCCAAGTGTTCCTCACCATGGGAAGAGGATTTTTTTTTTTGTGCAAACAACAGGATAATTGTTCGTGCTTTTCTATAGTCCAGGACTTTAAAAAGACCAAGGTGAAGAGAGGATGGAAGCCAGACAATACAGCAGAAAATTAATAGAATCTCTGCTGAGGCCCAGCTGTGTGATAGTGTGACTTGAACACGATAGAAAGCAACAGTGAAAGGTAAAGTCACCATAGTCCTGCTCTGGTTTAACCCGAGGGCCACTACACCTTGGGTAAGGGGAGAGATTGAGGACAGTCCTTCATGGTAACCTCAGCTGGTGCAGGAATTGGACCCACGTCATTAACATCACTTTGCATTGCAAACAAGCCATCCAACCAACTGATCTAACTGATCATAAAAATTGCAGTCAGGCTAGGAAGACAGACCTCTCAACTAGATCCACGCATGCAATCAACTCTGGTATCAATCAGCTGTGTGGGTGATTGTAAGTTTCAGTCAAGTCACAGAGGGATTTGTCCTGTGGTTTTTGCGGGTTCAATAAAGGAACAAACCTAAGGTTGAGCCAACAACAACAAGAACAAAGTTGCTGGAAAAGCTCAGCGGGTCTGGCAGCATCTGTGAAGGAAAAAACAGAGTTAACGTTTTGGGTCTGGTGACCCTTCCTCAGAACAGGTTGAGCCAAACCCTGTCATTGAATGCATTTTGTTCTCGCAATTCGAGGGTCTAAGAAATGCTGTGAGGTGGAAGGGAGTGGAATCTGCTATAGGTTAGACAACAAATGTGGCCTTGTGCAAATGCTGAGAGCAGTTATTCAAATGTCACTGTCTTGAAATTATCTGTAATGATTGTGGTGCTAAAAATAAATAGATCTAAAGTGGGAGGTAAATATTAGTTCTATTATCAAAGCAACAAAACAGCTATTTATTATTAATGTACAAATAGTACATGTTTTGAAACCTCAAGTTATGATCTTGTAACCATTTTCCCATCTTTGTTCACCCCATCTTTGAATGCGTGGCCTCATGCAATCGCAAAGCAGCAACATAAAGGTGCTGAAACTGTTCAGCAAAGGTCTTGCTGAATCATGCTTAGTCCTGATTATCATTGGTACTCTGATGTTTCACGTGATTGTAGTCTGGAGACACTTAACAACAGATGCAATTAACTCTGCCTTTTGCTAGATTGCTGCAGAGCTCTGAATTTCACCACAGATTACCTTCAGGCAGCTCTCATAGTGGCTCAGTGGTTAGCATTGCTGCCTCACAGTGCAAGGATCTCAGGTTCGATTCCACCCTCGGGCGACTGTCTGTTTCAAGTTTGCACATTCTCCCTGTCTGCGTGGGTTTCCTCTGGGTGCTCTGGTTTCCTCCCACAGTCCAAAGATGTGCAGGCTTGGGTGGAATGGCCATGGGAAATTGCCCATAGTGTCCAGGGATGTGTAGATTGGGTGGGTTATAGGGGAATGGGTCTGGGTGGGATGCTCTGAGGTCAGTGTGGACTTGTTGGGCTGAAGGACCTGTTTCCACACTAGGGATTCTATGAACTAACTGAATTAAGATATGAAACATCAAAGGTGGCAAGGTGGTTAGCACTGCAGCCTCACAATGCCAGGGACCTGGGTTTGATTTCACCCTGGGGTGACTGTGGAGTTTGCACATTCTCCCTGTGTCTGTGTGGGTTTCTGCTGGGTGCTGTGGTTTCATCTCACAGTCAAAAGATGTGTAGGTTAGGTGGATTGGCCTTGCTAAGTTACCTATAGTGTTCAGGGATGTGCGGGTTAGGTGTGTTAGCCTTGGGTAATATAGGGTTATGGGTCAGTGTGAACCTATTGGGCTGAATAGCCTGTCCCCACACTGTAGGGATTCTATTCTAAAGAATAGTTCAATGTCATAACTCATCCCCTCATTGACTATTTCACTTGGAATGCTGAAAATGTAAAAGACCCTATTAAATTGATTTTTTTTTTGTTTTGCTGAATTATGTTTTGTAACTTAATATGTAATTTGTTATTAAATTGGGAGTGTTCTGCAAAATTCCAAGGTACAAAGGGACGTAGGTGTTCTCGTGCATTAATCACAGAGGCTTAGGCAAAGTCACCAGAGGACCATAGCACTGCTCTATCATTAGGGAAAGAGAGAGACAACTATTAGTGGTTTAACCTGAGGGTCACCA